CTGGGTGTGGGGGGGTATAGGGTAAGGGGACAACATCAGAAATGTAAATAAAATATCCAATAAAAATAAAAAAAATAAAAAAAGATAATAGAATTGTATGTGCATGTGCTGGTGCCTACCTGTAGCATTTGAGAGGAAAGGCCACGTGGATTGTGAACTGAAGGCATCCTATGTTACATGGGATTCTGTCTTAAAACAACAGCAGAAACAAGGCTGGAGCTGGAGTTCTGTGGTAGAGCTGCCTACTACTTCCAGAGCTCTGAGTCTGACCCCAAGCCCAGGTAAAAGAGAGAGAGAGAAGAATATTCTGAAATCAGTGTGTTGAGCTGAGATTGAGGTGTGTTCAAGGTGGTTCTGACCTCGCTTGGATGTTCATTAACTTGAGATGTGAGGAAGTTTCATTGTTTTGGTACTAAAGTGTAAGTGGAGGTTAATTAGCTAGTAAAGGGGAAGTAGGGTGTTCTAAGGCAGGAGCACAACAGAACGCTGAAATGCAGTGTTTATACTGGGGAGAGAGCTCAGACTCTCTTGTTTGTCCTAGAATAGGAAGAAAGGTGATTTCATGACTTTACTTACCACTTTTTTCCTGTGTTGGAAATTTTAGGATCTTAGTGTTTGGTTCTAAGAATTGGGGTTTCAGTGTCTAAATGACAGGTGATAGGGGTTGATTAACAGCTGTCCTGTCTCTGTCGTGTTTGATATCATTGCTCTGTGTTCTCTGCAGCTGCTGCCTATCCACACTCTCAGGCTTGGTATGGAAGTCGACTCCTTTGATGGACACCACTATATCTCCTCAGTTGCTCCTGGGGGTCCTGTGGATACCCTGAACCTCCTGCAGCCAGAGGATGAACTTCTCGAGGTAAAAACATACAGGGGAAGAAAAATACATGGCAAAAATGTTAAGTTCTAGGAAATTGTGTTCACTGATTGACAGTGTCACTAATACCAGCCATTTATACCAAGAAATACAAACAGCTTACTGGGTAATACAGAAGTAGATACCACATTTTTTTTTTTTTATTTACTTTTTCCTAGCTGATAAGACCTTTGAGCATCCTTTTGAATGTTTGTCTAAATGGTTGACACAAAGTTTGATATATGTATATGAGTGTTTTGCCTGCATGTATATATGTACACTATATATGTACCTAGTGACTTTGATGGTCAGAAGAGGGCTTTAGGTGCTGGGAGTAGAACTTGGATGTTCTCTACAAGGGCAACAGATGCTCTTAAATGCCTTGCCAACTTTCCAGCCTCACGGTCCCTGGTTCTTGTTGGCAGCATATAGTCATATTTATTTTCAGGCTCTGTAGATTGTTTCTGTAAGGGTAAAAGTAGAACAACATCAGGCTTGTGTGTAGTTGTAAGGGTGTCCTCTTGGGATTCTGTGCTCTGTAGCGCTGCCTCCAATGGTTTTCCCAGGTTACTAATTCTAGTGTCAGTCCAGAGCAGTTTTAGGGCAGAAGTCTTTGTTTCTGGAGCAATTTTACACAATCCTGTAGATACGGGTATAAGATAGGTATAAACATTTGCTGACAATAAATCATTAACTTGTATTAAAATAATTCTTTGGTATGCATATATTTTTGCCACTTATTAAAGATGAAAGCTGGTTTACATACTGAGATGCATGTGCTTGGTTACTTTCATATAAAGAACTAAATCTTGGCTGTCTTTGATATGGCAGGAGCAGAGCATCTTCAGTGTTTTCCAGATCTGATCAATGTTTGGATTTTATAATTGTCAATACTAAGTATGTTGTTTTGCCTAAATACATAGTACAAAGTAGCAGATGTTTAGGACTATTTTAGAAATTGTTCAAAATTCTGTCCTTATCCCAAGCCACAATTCATTTAACAGTTTTTAATGATGCTCAAATCAACAACTCACACAGCAATTTTAAAAAATCAAACATTTGAATGTAATAAAATGTCAGTATATATTAATTTGACATTTATAGGCTGAGGAATGATGGCAGGAAATAATTTAACAATTGTATTTCATGTCTACATGCTTCCAGTCCCCAATTTAGGTGGTACTGGGGATTGAACTTGGGACCTCTTATTCTGCCCACTTAGCTATGTAGAACAATGTGATTAATAACAGCATAGCTTCCATTTTGAGCCACTGTTTTAGGCAGTGTTTGTTGGTGTTGCGTGGCATGGTGACATACATAGTCCAGTACATGTTGTATGTTCACAATTAAGGCCACAGTAAGCTTAGGTTCTGCAGCATGGACACAAGTAGCCAGAAGAAAGCTTGGATTTATTATACGCTCAATTTTAAATTAACTTGTGCTTATTGTACTTTCTGAAATCTTTACTATTGGTATTTTCATGACTATACATTCAGTTGTAGATACAGGGTTGTGATCCACGGTTTAAATAATCTGGCTTCTAAGCAACACTGCCTTGTAGTGATCTTCTGAAAGATTTATAAGATGCTGACTTTCCCAGCTTCCTGCTTAGCTAGCTGCAGTATACCTTTGCTTGTGTTTCCTAACTCTCTTTCCATTGTTCGTTCATGCCATTACTCTTTTATTATGGCTTACAGTTTGAGGAGGTCTTATCCATCATGGTGGGACAGCTATGGTGCCAGGAGCGTGAGACAGCTGGTCACTTTGCACCTGCAGTCAAAGAAGCATAGACTGAATAGGAAATGGGGCCAGGCAATAAACCCTCAAGGTCCATAACCAGTGAACCACTTCCACTAGTGAGGCCCTACCTCTTAAAGTTTCTAGAACCTTTCCAAATGGCCCTACCATCTGGAAGCCAAGTATTCAAAAACAGAAGCTTATGGGGAGTATTTCACATTTAAACTACAAGGTAATTAATAAATCTACTTGGTAGCTGTGGTTCCTGATTTTAGCAATTTCTAAACTTTATGTTTGATCAAAGTGAAATGATAGGATGACACACAGTAGTTATCACCAGCCTAAAAGAGTTTGTTGAGACAAATGCTGAGTTGAGTTTTGGACTGATATGAACAGATATAAAGTTCTTCCTTAAGTATGGGAGGACAAGGTTTTAGAATCCCACTGTAAGATGTAGTAAATTGCTTGCTTGTTTGTTTGTTTGTATTGCCGATTGAATCCAGGGCCTTATGTGTGCTTGGAATGTACACTCCCAGTGAACTTAGTTGTTGTTAGTACCAGCCTTTATTTTATTAATTTATTATTTTGTTTATTTATAAACTTTAATATCTATTAAAAATCTCTAAGTAAAAATTATCCACAGAAATTAACCAGACACAATCTATGCATCTCAGCAAATTCCTAGATAATTAGAATGGCCATTTGGAACTGAAGCTGTGTAGCTTCACATTGAATTTTACCATTTCACTGTTGAATACATTTTTATGCACTTAACTGTCATGAAAAACTAAAAACCCATGACAATTAGAACTAGAAAAGCAATTAGCTTTATATTCTGTTTTATAACTTGTGTTATAATGACCTACATTTGTTCCTTTATCTTCTAATATTTTTGTTCTCTTTTCTATATGTTATACTGTACCTACATATATATTTGTTTATATATATACATGTGTTATTGCCTAGATCCTGCATATGAAAAAGAACATGCATTTTCTTTCTTTCTGAGATTATGTGACATCATTTAATATTACACATTCTAAGCCCACTCATTTTCCTGAAAATTTTGTAGTTACATTTTTTTCTTAAGAGCCAAATCGTATTCAGTCTTACATATATGTACCTGCTTTTCTTACCCATCTACCTACTGTTGGAGAACTATGTTCTGTTTTTCTGCTGTTGTGGATAAGGTCGCAATGGACATGGGAGTACAAGCATTTCTTTGGCCAGGTATGAAACTCTCTAGGTATATGCCAAGCTGTAAAGTACTGGGGCCCAAGTGTAGGTCTGTGTTTAATTTTGAGAAACCTCCACACTGATTTCCACCATAGTGAATAATCCGCAGCCTCTCAGTAGCTGTTCTCAGGTATGTTGATGATAGCCATTCTGTAGTTGTAATTTGCATTTCCTTGATGACTGGGGGATATTAAATGCCTATAAGAACATTGACCATTGGTGTTTCCTTTTATAAGAAGTATCTTTTCAGTTCATTTGTATTGCTTACCAGTTTCCTTGGCATTGGATGTCTACAGTTCTTTGTAAATCTGGATATCAGCCTTGTCTGAAGTGTAGCTGGTAAAGGGGTTCTTCCATTCTTTAGGCTCTCTGCACTGCTCCTTATTTCCCTTGCTTCTCACAAATCTTTCATTTTGGTGCCTTCCTTTGGTTGACACTTGGGTTTAGTGTCTGTGCTATTGGTGTTCTAGTCAAAAAGTTCTTCTATAATCCAGTATCCTGAAGGCTAACGCCTCTGTTTTTTTTTTAAGATGTTGCTGTATTTCATATTTGAAATTAAGATGTTTGATCATTTTAAATTGATTTTTGTACAAAGTGAAAAACCAGAGTCAAATTTCATACTTTTGTAGAAATGCAGTTTTGCCAGCACCATTTGTTGAGTAAGCTATACCTGTCAACGGAATAGCCTGATGTTTTGATAAGGGTGTGTTTTCTGTATCAGTTAAATCAGGTTGAACATACCCATCTCCTCAAATACTCATCATTCTTTATTGGGGAAAGGTAGTTATTTTTATATCATTGACAAGAGTGACCTTGAGCTGTGTATGGAAGATTTATGCCATGAATTTTACTGGATAACTAATGTTCTCTTTCTGGGCCTAAGATCATATCTTTCCTGATTGGCAAGGCATGGCCATAGTTTTCAGACAGTAATCTGTAGAGTGGAGACCATTGATGTGATATGTAATTATTTGCAATTGAGAAACAAGATATATTTGAAAGATGCAGAAGGAATAAAATCAATTTAATTGATAGCTCATTTTATAGTTGTAGATGGTAAAGTATATGTGACTGAGTTTACCAATGAATACTTTTTACATGTGAAATTCAGGGACCCAGAGGTTAAAGTGGTTGCTATGTGCTGTATGTTAGAGCAGTGTTGGATGGTTAGAGTAGATTGAACATAGCATTCCTTCCACCCCCACCCTTGTCAACATAGTTCCCTGTTCTTTATCTAAGGTTAGAATACTCTGGGCCTTTATCTGAAAAACAAAGTGTTATAACAGGAGCGTAAACATTTGGAGTGAGGGAGTGTAATGACCTTTTTACATTAACACAAAGTTAACACAGTTTCATAAACATTTTTTACTTTCTTCTTATTCTTTTATTTTTTATTTAAAACTTTTTATTATTTGTGAATTTTGCATCATGTACCCCAGTCCCACTTATCTCCCCATCCCACCATATTGCCCTTGCAACCTCCCTCTCCCAAAAGAAAATTAAAAATTAAAAACAACAACAAAGGAACAACAACAACAACAAAAGCAATCTACCAACCAACCAACCAACCAACCAACCAACCAGATAGAAAAAACAAAACATCTTCTTGTGGAAGCTGTAGTTTGTCCCACAGAACACCCCTTTGTCCACACATCTTTACTTACAAATGTTCAATGCAGTGAGTCATTGATCTGGTTTGATGCCTCTAACTTCTGCTCCCCAGGACTGCCTTGGAGAGCCCTCCCAATGCTGCAGCAGGGAAGGACAGGACAGGTTTTCCTGTGCTCACATCCTCAGGGCCAACTCTACTGTGCTACACAGGCATGGTCCAGGACCTGCTTTTCTGAGTGTTAGAGCTGGTGAGGGTTGTGGATAGCTCTCCTCAGTGCCACAGCCAGTGAGGAGCAGGGCCTGCGCTGCACAGCCTATGGTATGGTCCCAGGCGGCAACCCACATCAGGGATGTCTACATGGTCTGTAGTGGTAATATGTAGTGGTAATATGTAGTGGTAAGAACCATCAGCACAGACCCCGGCTGCTGCATGGCAACAGACCTAGATATGGCCCATAGCTGCAGCATGGGCCAGGATTTCCCTATGGCCTCAGTTGCCTGGGCAGGCTACTCACATCAGACAGTTCTTCTTGCTCTTCTCTCATAGTGATCAAAGCATTCTTCTCTTTCTCTCCCATCTCCCCACCATATATTTGCATATGCATAGTTGCTTCTACTGAGGGTGGACCCCTGGGTGTCTTCTTCTCTCTTCTTTTTCTTTTTTAAAGTTGTACTGGGGAGCAAGCTTAGCTTTCTTCATCGGAGTCAAGTGCTCTGTTCTCAGTGTTATTCATGGCCTCAGTAATTTGACATCTAAAATGCAGATTCTGGTAAGGAAAGTTGAAATACAGAAAGATGTGACAGTTTTGGAATTTTGGTTTCTTTAAAAATCACAGAAACAACATAAGAATATGTTTTCATTTAATCACAGGTATGGGATATGGGTCTGTCTCAGATTAATAGCAGCTGACTGTGGTTTGCACTGTGCTCTAGCTGGGGCTTGATTTTGCCAGCTATAGATAGTTCCTTTGTGTGCTTTTGGAATTCTGAGGACTTTTCAGAGTATATATAAATGCTAGGGCCCGGAGAGGCAGGGTGGGTTGTTGCTGGCTGTTGGTTGTGGTTTGTTGAGTAATTATGAGTAGAGAAGAGGAAGAGGGGGAAGAGAGAGGAAGAAGAAGAGGAGGAGGAGGAGGAAGAGGAGGAGGAAGAAGAGGAGGAGGAGGAAGAAGAGAAGAAATAAATAAATAACTTGTCCTAAAGAACTTGACTTTCCCTAATCAACATGAAGTAGTCTAATGATAATGTCACCCCCTTTCCTTTCTATACTTTTTTCCTCTACTATCTAGTATTAGGGGATTAGAAGGGTGGAGAAGGGTGGAAGAACTCACAAGGTAGCAAAAGCTGACTACAGAAAGAAGCCTAGATTGAGAGGCAGAGAAGTGCCCTGGGTTCGGAATTTGCCCTGCATGTGTCCCTGTGTATACTGTTTAACATATAAGAAAATCATTTTCCTTCTCTTCTTCTACTGTATGTCTGTGAGAGTCTAAAGAGCTACCATCCATATAATTTGAAGAGCTTCTGTCACAAAGGGGATTGGCTTTGTTATCACTGTGACTGACGTTAACAAGCTTATGTGTAAAGTCAGTGAGTGCTCTGGAAGCCTCTACTCATGTGCATTTTTAAATCAACAAGTCTGCATAATTAAGACTCCGTGTCACTTAAAAGAAGGTCTCAGGCTCAAGGACTTCAAGGAATACTGTGAATTCTAAAATAAAAATTCCAAGTTAAGTGAATGTACACATTAAAAGAAAAACTTTGAAGTTGGCCACATAAACTTTTTGGTTGGTCTCTTTGGTCCCCTCTCCCTCTCCGCCCACCTCCTGTTCTTGCCTTCTCTCCCTCCTCCTCATTTTTTTCTTCCACCCCCAATGTGTTTAATGTACTTCTTAGAGCTTAAAACCAGAAACACAAATACGCTTTGGGGTTAGAGGACCATGCCAAGTCTCAGGCCAGAACAGCTATTTACAGCAGCCATAAATCCCCTTAGCTAGGGGTTGGTAATGGGAAATGTGACCAATGTTTTTAGCAGTAGGTAGTGAAGAGGACTACCAGGCACTGCTGTAATAAGTGGAGACAATTCAAATGAATAAATAATGAACTAAATAAATATTTAAAGGTACTCTAAGATAGCAGCCTGAAAAGTGACTTTCTAATTTGTTGAAGCACAAACTAATAACTGTATACTGTTAGAGTTTCTGTTGTCTTTGTATCTCTTTGTGTATTTAATAGAGGTTACTGTCCACTTGACTCTAGAGCTTTCTGTGCCTGTTTCTTAGCCTAGTATTGTAGATATTATGTGACCAGTGTTCTGTGTAGAGGTTGACTTGAATTCTTCCAAGGAAGACTGCTTGGTCCTGGGTCAGCTGTTCTTCAGACTCATTCATCATCATCATGACTTGAGAGAGGCAGAGAGGGAGAGAGAAAATGAGATTCTCCATGAGGTGTTTTTGTCATTACTGTTGTTTTACTCTATGTCTGAATAATGAGAGACAGGATGATATATCTGGTTTGATGGTTAGGTACTGGGTGGTCACAAATTTGAAAGTGGTTCCTAGGGACAGCACTGTACCACAGCTGACAGAGTGCTTCCAGCACCCCAGTGTTCTGTGTTCTCTCTGGTGCAGGGGTAGATCTGTGGAAACGGTGTTCCTGTTATAGTCAGTCCTACCTGTTATCTCACATGAGAAGACTTGGAGCTAAAACCATATGTGAAAATCACAGTACACCCAATCTAGATTTCTAAATCGTCTTTGATCCAAAGTTTGATGTATCAAAATATATATGATATTTGATGATAGTGATTAATCATTAATTAACAAGGAAAAGATATCCTTTTGAAAGGTAGGTCACACTGCGGTGAACTTGGGAACTGCGCACTTCTGTGATGCTGCACTTGCCCAGTGTATGGGAATTCAAGTGGTGCTGGTGACACCTGTTGCTGCTATAGATGTGTGTGCTAAGGTGATGCTCTGGTGTGTGTTCACTGAGGAGGGGTGTGCTGACTGACAGTAAACTCTGACTGTTCTGTATCAGATGTGCTCACATGTTTGCTAGGCAAACAGACTTACAGTGACAACACAGAGGGAATTGGGTGTTAGGAGGCTGACAGGGACAGTTAGTGCATTTAAGGAATGACAGAAAGCTGAAAGAATGCAGTATTGGATTCTGTAAAGGAGAAACCTCAGAGATGTGAACCATTATATCTCCTATCTAGGAATCGTGCTTCCTGGCACACATTTTATACTTTATTCTCTCCATTTCAGTCAAGATGTAGCCTAAATTTTTTCAATCAAGATTCACCCTTAATTTAGATGTTTTAAATTATTAATAAAATAATATGAGTAATTTTATGGCCTTTGTTTACAAGAACAGTGAGATGCCATCCTGTTTTCTTTTTGTTGCTTCTTAATTTTGTACCTGTTCACAGCTGACAGCCTTGTCATCCTAGGTCAATGGCATTCAGCTTTATGGGAAGTCTCGCCGAGAAGCAGTCTCCTTTCTTAAAGAAGTGCCCCCACCATTTACCTTGGTTTGCTGCCGCCGGCTGTTTGATGATGAGGCCTCTGTTGATGAGCCGAGAACCATGGAACCATCTCTTCTTGAGGCAGAGGTATGAAGGGCTGAGTGTGGCTATTATATATGTGTCCTTTATCAGGGCCACTCCAAAGAGGGTGTTGCAGTAGAAAGAGAGGCAGCTGCCACACCCTATTCAGTTTTATTTGGCTAAGCAACACATCGAATGTTTGACATTCTGGATTTATATTTGCTATCTAGAACTCCCTGATAATGTCAGTGACAATGATGTATATCAATCTGATTTTAGAAAACTCGTTAAAAAAAACAACTATTATTAAAAATTAATTGTCTGGATTCATGGCTTTTCTTTCTATTTCAACTTATTTCATCCTAACAAAGGTATATTGTTGGTGAGTATTGACTGTCTTAGTCTTCTCTTCCCTTTCTGAGAACTTTAAAAATATGAAGAGTTCTATTAAACTTCAGAGTGAGGTTAGAAGCTACCATAAATGCAGAAGATCAGAACACAGGTCAACACTTCCTCTGCTGTTGGATGTCTTTCCTAAGTCCACTGCAGTTGTGGAAGGAGGTATTAGGGCATGGGTTGTTATCGAATGCCTTTTGGAGCATCATCTTTTTTTTTTTTTTAATTGGATATTTTATTTACATTTCAGATGTAATCCCCTTTCCCCCCCCTCCCAGTAACCCCCTATTCCATTCCCCCTCCTCCTGCTTTTATGAGGATATGCCCCAACTCACCCACTCCCACCTCCCCACCCATGATTTCCCCCACACTGGGGCATCCAGCCTTTACTTGACCAAGGACCTCTTCTCCCACCTATGCCCGACAAGGCCATCCTCCCCTACATATGCAGCTGGAGCCATGGGCCCCTTCTTATGTGCTCCCAGGCCAGTGGTTTAGACCCTGGGAGCTCTGGTTGGTTGGTTTTGTTGCTTTCTTCATGGGGCCGCAAACCCTTTCAGCTCCTTCAGTCTTCTCTCTAATTCCTCCATTAGGAACCACATGATCAGCTCAGTAGTTAGCTGTGAACATCCGCCTCTGTATATGTCAGACTCTGGCAGACCTCTAAGGAGACAGCTATGTCAGGCTTGGAGCATCATCTTTATGCCACTTCCCCTCCTTGCCTGACAGCACCAGCACCACCACAGTACTGAGCTCGGGCGTAGGCCTGGGGGATTAAAGGAAGACACAGACTTGGGTCATTCATTAAGAGAGAATGCCAAAACTTTTACTGAGCAGGTTCAACATATACACCAAGCCAGGGAAGGAAAAACATAAACAGGAACTCAACTGGGGGACAGTGGGCTGTCAAGTGTAAATACCCTGCCTAGAGCACCATGCCTACATCAGGATGTTTTGATCTAGAAAAATCGCAGAATGTTACTTGGTAGACAGCAGCACATGGAAAGCCTCAGCCAGGGCATGGCAGCCCTTCGAGGTCCTACACTTGCCAGACACAAGCAGTTTAATGGAAGGCCTTTCTTTTTACCTACCTGCCCTTTGACTTATAATTCAACTGAGTTCATGTTTGAAGTTGTGTGCACCTTAACCCTTCTTGCATACTTTGTGTTTGTGCATCTTTTGGCAGTTCTCTACAGAGTACAGCCTTTCTTAAAACAAAACAACACAACTTTCAAGAAGGGGACTCATATCAAACTTTATAACTTTTACTGTTCTTAGTAAACTGTAATGTGTGTGGTGGCTTCCCTGTAAAGCTTGATAAATAGACTTTGAGTTTAATTTTGTCAGATGTCAATCATCAGCCCAGCTTGCTGACTCTGTGTTCCCGTCCACCATCCTGCAGAGTGGTGAACAGCAGCCTGAAACAGGCCAGTTGTCAACACTGCTGCCTGTTAGCTGATGGCTTTCTTTTTCCGTAAAGGTTGGAGTTATGCAGAATTGTTGTATCAGTGATACAGTCCAGTCCAGTGTAGAATGTGCACATAGGGTGCCGTGAAATCTTTATATGCCTGTGCTTTCTGGTTATATGTGTGCTCTTAAAATTTTGGCTCTTTTCCAAGTGTTCTCTGTTTTTCATTTATCCTGATAAAATCTTCTACTCCTTTTTTTTTTAATTGTTTTTCTTTATGTATACATATGTGTGTCTTTGTAAGTGTATGCTGAGTGTGTGCCCTTCCAGGTCAAAAGAGAGTGTTAGATCCACTTGTGCTGGAGTCACAGGCAGGTGTGAGCTGCCCAGTAGAAGTGCTGGAAACAGAACTTGGATCCTCTAGAAGGGCAGCAAGTATTAATTGCTTAATTGCTGGCATGTCTCTCCAGCTCTGTCATGTTGTTAAATCTCTGTGGTTAGGTGGCAGTGCAACAGTTCTAATTCTGATTGGTCAGTGAGTATACACCCATGCTATCCCAATCATATTAGCCTTTGAAACATTTCATTGGAAGCTGGAAGTATTTTCTTTTTAAAGGTGTCCTTTCCCAGGTTGATGAGATGGCTTGGCAGATTTCTGTTCATGGAAAGTAGAAGGAGGAAAGCTGACTTAACAGAGGTTTTCAGTCTCCACTCGTACGCCACAGCATGTGCATCTACACAACAAGAGTAACGTTTTTTAAATAATAAAAAATAATTTCTCACATCAAACTGAAACATGTGGAGATTAACAGTGGGGACTGTTCCCTTACTTCAGGTTTAGTCAGTCAAGAACCGAGGAAACATTTGGAAACATCAATTGGAGGAAAATAATACTGTGCTAGAATGCCCTGTGTAGTTGATCTGTCTCGTTTCACTTCCCTGAGTTTCTAAAAGGCCTGGGGGTGGGGGAGAGTCTGGAAAAGAGGGATGTCAGGGTGTGGGAATTGACAGAGAACCTGTAGGCTGGTCATTTGAACTAGCTCACTTCCTCTAAGGCCAGGTTTTCCCTGTTCCTACTTGGAGAATTCCCCAGTGCTCAGGGAGTTGATGGCAGTGGCTGATGCTAGCACTGCCACATCTCTGCTGCCGCAGCCAGCACCTCCTCCTCTTCCCCTTCCCTCTTCTTGTTCTTTTCTAGTAAAACTTCCTTGGGATCTTCTGGACTGGTTTCCTTGAGTTCTGACTGTTCTTTTTTTCTGTCTCTGACTAAAATTATGATTATAGTATTGCTTTTAAAATATCTATGTGCCTCTACTTTGCATGAAGTTTACATTTTTATTTAAATTACCTATTTTTCCTTTTATGCTTCTAATGGGATGACAGAGCTCATTGAAGTATAAGAGGTCAGTGTTAACACTTGGGTTAAACCATTTGAAAACGTGTGAGAGCTCTACAGTTCTGAATGTCTGGGTGTTCTATGAAGCTTTGACCTTGAGTGTGAGTTCCCAGTGCATGCCCCCTCTACAAAGAGCAAAAAGCTAACTATGCATGCCAGAGATACTTCCCAGTTTGAAATGAAACTGAGTTCTTTTTAGAATAGGACAGCGGCTCCAGCATTTACCATCCTTGCTCTTTCAGGTTGACCGCAGTGTAGATGTCAGCACTGAAGAGGATGACGATGGAGAATTAGCCCTGTGGTCTCCTGAAGTCAGGACTGTGGAGCTGGTGAAAGACTGCAAAGGTTTAGGATTCAGCATTTTGGATTATCAGGTATGGGGACCTGCTGGGAGGGGTTTTAGTTTATGTTGTGGGTTTCTTTGTTTGTTTGCTTGTTTGTTTGTTTGTTTTTGACTGTTGGTTTATGCTGCTATTGCATGAACTAGTAATTGTTTAAAACATTCACCAAACTCAAGCAAAACTGGATTCCAAAGGAGGGTATTACTCATTCTCTTGCTTTCTTTTCCGTTGGTAGCTCTTAGTGAATATGGCGATGCAGCAACTGGTAGCAATGATAAAGTCGATGCTTTTAGAGACTGGACCTTGGTAAGCTTTAAAAAATGGGTCCAGACCTATTGAAATATATTTCATGTGCTGTGAAATATACTTATTCAGAGCATTTACCTAGGTTGTTTTCGTGTATAAGTTAGATAATCATCACCATTCTCACAGTAAGGTCCAAAAAGAAACCTGGATGCTGAGGTGGGAGGAGGGCAGGCTCAAGGCTAGTTTGTATTTCAGTGCCAATCTGGTTATAAACGTCACCATGTCTGCTAAAGCAGAAGCAAGTGAAAAGAAGCCTGTGCACTTTAGCAAACATCCCCACTCTCGTGTCTGTCCTTCCTGTCACATGAAGACTTCTATGGCTTTGCTTACCTGCTAGTTTTAATGAAGTCAAATAGAAATATTCTTTGTGAAACTATCTGCTGATGGTACATAACACCTTTCTAGTTAAATATTTATTATGGCTCCAGTTCTGACTGAAGTAAGACTCCTGATACAGGATTGGGAGCACTGGAGCACACAGTAGGACACCTTTATTTTTTAGAACTTACCACCTACTGTTCTGCCATTGGACCTCTGATCATTGAGGGAAATTAAGGCTGGGACAAAAAATCCCTTTGCTATTAAAGTGCACATTTTAAAACTAGTGTAACATAAACACAATGTTAATAAAGCAAGATGTACTCCATGAAAGCCCATAAAGTACAAAATTATATAAAACCACATTTAAATTTAGATTCATTCATTCACTCACTCATTCATTCAGTGAATTAATGGTGTGGGTATAGGTGTATGCACGTGCCTTAGTACCCACAAGGTGGTCAGAGGGCAATTTGTTGGGAGTCAGGTCTCTTTTCCACTACCTAGGTCTTGAAGATAAAGCTCAGGCAGTCAGACTTGGCAGCTAGTGCCTTTACCCACTGAGCCAGCATGCTACTCTGAATCTTTTCTTTTAAACATGTATTTTATGGTTATAAATGTTTGGCTTGCATGTTCTGTGTACACAGTGTGTGTTTCTGGTAGCTGCAGAGCTAAGAAGAGGGCATTTGATTCCATGGAACTGGAGTTCCAGAGAGTTTGAGATGGTGTGTGGGTGTTAGTAAGTAAACTTGGGGTTTTTGCGAGAACAACAAGTGCTCTTAACTGCTGAAGCATCTCTCCAGTCTGTGAAATCACTGTTTAATATAATAATGTGATAGAGAATAGAGTACAAGAGAAATACTTAGAACATTATGTAAGATTTAAATTATGTTTTTGCTGGCATATTTCTGGGCCAGATAGGCCTCTGCTCTTAGAACTTCCTTTTAGAATATTATTGAATTATGAGTTGTTGATTTCAAATGAACATTTTGGGAAATAGTGGCAACAGGAAGCATCTAATTGTAAGATTCTCGTAAGAACTCTTGGTTCCCTATACTGTACTTTAGAAGTGTCACCTATCCCCTAGCAATAAAAGACTCAGTAAAATTTAGGCCAGCCAAAACTCACTGGAATTAAATGAACAAATGTCAGTGTGAATTTGTTAACCATTTTCCATGATAAGGTTTAATTTGCAAACACTTTTTAAATGTGATTTTGATGGTCAGCTAGTTTTCATTATTTCAGAGATCTCTGTATTTTCATTGTTAATTGATAAATATATTTTATTGTCAATTTCTTAGAACAACTGCAAGCTTTAAATAGTTATTGATTTGTCTACTTTCACTGTTAAGGGGTGTGTAACTCAGACAGCTAACCAGCAGTTACAGCCCTGAGCTATTCACTCAGCCCAGACTTCCTGGTTTTAGTGTTATACATCTTAAAGCAGAAAATTGTCTCTGAACTTGATAGAGTTCTGAAGGAAAGGAAACTTGTGAGCCTCTCAGTTTTATTCCTAGTTGGCAGGAAATCACTACCAGTTTTGAGCTCTTTTAAAAATGGTTGTTCTAATGTGGATTGTTTTCTCAGTATGTTCTCAGAGGTATGCATTTTTGATTCTGTTGTTTTCTCTTTTGAATATTGCCATTTATAAATGTTTAGTTTTGTTTGTTTGTTTGTTTGTTTGTTTGTTTTTTTCCTGCACCTTCTCACAATCTATATGAATAGACACTGATTTCTGTTCAGGTTGTATGATGTAATTCTGCTGCAAAAAATAGTACTAGAAAATTCTTCTGTATTTGTGTGTTTTGGAGAACTCATAGAAGGCTGCTTAATTTCCTAATGTTACTTTAATTCAGGTAAAATGGATCAGCTTACATCTTCTATAGCCGCACTTTGGAAAGAAAGCACTCGCTTTTATGTTTGGTATTTTCCCTCAGTCAGATGCTAAGCACTCTCACAGTTGGGTACATAGGTATCATTTATCAGGGGTGTGAAAAACCATTTCCCACCAAACCCTTCAGATAATAGGGAAATGCAATTTAAAATTTGATTTGTGGTAAGTTTATTAATTTATTTAATTGTATGACCCTTATAATTAGGTAAAAAATTGTTAGTTTGAAAAATAGGGTTTAGAAAATTAAGTAGAGGAGTAGCAGATGGTATCAGAGGCCATGCTCCTGGGGATTTCCATATCTGCTGTGCTTTGTGTAAACTTCTTAGGTGACTGAAAAGACTCAGGGAGATCTTCTGGCCCTCCCGGGTTTAGCATGTGTACACTAAGTAGTACTGTAGGACACTGTAGCACTTTCCAGTCTTAGGAACTGGGGATGGTTTCTATGTGGTAAGGGCCTACATTAGCTGTGTTGAAGAGGTTGCATCTTTCCTTTTGAGCATTAATTCCAGTTAACTGTTTTTCTAGTTAATAAATTTTCCTCTGCCCTAAGAACTGAAAATTTGATATATCTGTCTCCTGGATGTCTCTAGGGCAGGTATAGTGATATCACATGCAAAAGATCATATGGATTAAGTAAGTTTGTGTGAAAGGAAAGAAAATCTTCTGTTACATGAAAACGTGAGCACTGTTAACCATCAGTTTATAAAATCACCACAACAGTTGTTGATACTAACCCTCAATCATGTGCACACTGCAGTGTATTCAAACTATATAAATTTTAGCTGTATAGTTACATTAGGAAAGTTAATAAGTAGATACCTTTGTTTAATGGAGTTGGAATTTAACTATGAAATTATTATCATGCAGTCAATTCCAGAGAGCCGCATATGAGTCACCCTAAGAATTAGCGCTCCAAAGTTTAGTTTTTACATAATTTAGCTGCACCTTAAGAAAGTATGAGTGAACAGATTAAGGACCTTGAATTGATCCATGGAATGATGGAGTGGGTGACTGTCTCAGCAAGTTGGCAGTCCTAGTATTGATGGACATTGTACAGTGTAATAAAGCCAAGGAGTCTGCTCTGAAATGAAGGAGCTGAGTCTGTCATGGGATTCTAGTGGCAGTCGTATGGCCAAAGAGCGAATGTGGGAACTCACTCATGTGCATACACTTGACACTAGATTGGGACAAGGAAAAGGAGAAAACAGTAACTATAATGCAGGTTAGATTTTAGGATAAAGCTTTTGTTGGCTGTGATATGAGCTGAGGTCAAGTCTGTCCCCACAGAGTCTGGCTCAAATCCTGTTCTGAGTGTTTAGCTTGTGAATCCCCATGGCTTGTAATATTGAGTGGTGGAGACAGTGCATTGAAGTTTGACGGTCAGCCCTTTCTCAAAGCCTCAGAGCACCTGGGAAATTTGTCCATAAGTTTACAAATTTTCAATACTCTTATTTTTTATTATGTGAGTACGTGTGTGTGTGTGTGTGTGTGTGTGTGTGTGTGTGTGTGTGTGTATACATGTGTGCTTGTGCACTCACACATGGGAGCATGATTCCAGGTGTGCAGATGTATGCACGGAGGCCAGAGAACTTTCTGGAGTAGGTTCACTCGTTTCCTGTTCATTCCATCCTGGGAAGAATGTTAGGTCAGACTCGTACAGCAGGCACATTTGCCCACTTCCCATTTCCCGGTTCTGGCTGCGTTCTTCATAGCATCTTTGCTAATCTGTAAATGAGGGTTCCGTTTTGTACTTTAGTTGTCTTACCTCTGTTCCTCTAACTTTTTATATATAAACTCACCATTCCTTTGAATATTATTTCCATGGAATATTATTAATACTCATTTATATCAGCACTAATACAAATGTAACAGTAATAGTAGGTGCCAAGTATTATTAATTATGTGGTAGTCTCTGTTTTACATGTATTAGCTTATAGATTTCTCACAAAAACCATGTAATCCCCATTTAACAAGTAAGGAAACTGAGGGACAGATAAGTTAGGTGTTAAGTCCAATTTCATACAACAGGAATACCGAAGAAGTGAAATTTGAACTCAAGCAATTGGGCTGACATCCCATTGCTTCTAAATGTAGTATGATGTTATTTTTTAAATGAGGATTTTTGCAAACATTTTTAAAAATGGGACATCCTTATAGTAAATCTTATTGTTTTTCTAATTGGAAATTTTTTTTAAAAGAGTAAGCTGCCAAATAGCATTCTCCTTTTATTGCTCTATGAAAATTAAGTAAATATTAAGAATTGGTTAATGCAGTGTGTCCTTCTGCACCATGTAAGAGCGAGTGCTTCAGAAGAAAATGACTTCAGTTTGGAAGCTTGTTCTTACAGGTTAACATTTCTTAATAAAGCAATTTTGTAGCCTGAGAGTCTATAACTTCTGATTTCTACCAAAAAGCTTGCAAAGATTGAACTATATGGATTTTACCTTCAGTTGACCCTATAAATTTAAACGGAGCAAGTGGATATTTTCTGGTGTTTTGATTTATGCTGAACTTT